AAATGAAAGAGGCGCGTCTAATCTGGAATGGCGCCGGGCTCTTAAAACGACAGAGAAACTTTAAATATAGCAGGTAAAATAACGAGACGCCACTTGAGGTCTTCTTCAACCGAAAGTATTTAAAGCTATTATTCAGGACGAAGCTCTGAGTCACCGTTAAGCCGTTCGCTTTCTTCCTCAGGGCTTCGTTTCGTCAAGTCATCTTCTTTGAAATGAGCAGAGTTACTTCACTGAAAATGAACTGGTTTTTTCCGACGGATCGAAAAGGGCGTGAGCCCATTCACAGATGACGAATACCATCACAAACAGCTTTCAAATGGTGGCTTAAAATGACCATAGTAGTAATTTAGGACCAGGAATGAAAACCAGAAAATGAAGGGATTTTCTTACTATGCTTGCCAACGACACAAAATTTGGATCCGCAGTTGACTTTCAACCCTTTTGCTTGTCCCCCCTCAATCCAAATTACCTATTTTGCGGGGGTACATAACCCGACTTACACGAACATCATCGCCATCACGCCATCCCGTCCCAACCACACCTCGTTAAGTAATAGGAACATGCAAGGCAGGCATCTTACCGGACAGCCGACGGACGAAAAACAAGCAACAGGTCCCCCACCTACAAATATCAGATGCCCCACCTTCTTACAGTAAATATCTTCTCCGCTTCGGCCACGCCCTCTTCTCTCGCGGCCAATTGGAAGAGAGTGAAACTGACTTTCATCATTGCTCCGCCCCCCCCAACCAAAGCGTATCCCGTGGCGTTCAGGCTTGCTCACAATCCCGATGAAGCCACAGCGAACTTTCCATTTATTGCGAAGTCGACAACGAGTTTCTATGGAAGGTTCACGACGCTCTTTTCGCAGCAGAGGCGGAGGATGATGTTATTTTGTTCGAGATTCACGCAAGCGTTTTACTTTTTCACCTCAAACGGGAGCAACAGCCCTTTTGCAAAAAGTTTCAAAACTCCCCTTTCCCAGCGAGCCCCTCTCTGTTTTGTGGAAAGCCTGCGGGAATAGTAAACGGCAGGCTACGATCAAAACATAACTAAAATTCAACTGTAAAATAGGCATGGTGCAAAAACATTTAAAAGAAAATAAAAACCAATAAAGGGCTTATCAGAAATCCTAATGTCAAAAGCCAAATATCTTCGGACATTGCTCCGCAATCTAATAAATCTGAACATGGCTTCTCCATCACTATGACATGGATAAATAACTTTACTAGTTCCATGTGCTGCTCCAAATAAATTTCAAGAGCAATTTATTATTTTAATTGAGCCATCACAGTAATATAAGACTAAATACCATCTTCTGGTAACCTCAGTGGTTATTCATCCCTGTCTTCCTTATCAAATTCCATCTACTTGAAAACTGCCAGATTTAACCTTTTTGTACCAGTTTTTTTCAAGCACTACAAATACTTGCTTCTCAGGGTAGTGTTTTCCAGATGTGCAGGACACAAAATGGATTATCCAAATTGCAATCCCATAGGGCAGGGGTAGGCAACCTTGGCTCTTTTATGACTCCTGGACTTCAACTCCCAGAATTCCTGAGCCAGCCATGCTGAGGGGAAAGGGAGAGGTTTCCAAGCTGAGCCATGCTGGCTCAGGAATTCTGGGAGTTGAAGTGCACGAGTCATAAAAGAGCCATGGTTGCCTACCCTTGCCATAGGGCTAGATCAGGGGTAGGCAACCTTGGCTCTTTTATGACTTGTGGACTTCAACTCCCAGAATTCCTGAGCCAGCATGGTTGCCTATCCCTGGGCTAGACAGCACATGGCAATAGAGGGCTGTGCAAGTAGTCTTCAACTTAAACAACCAGAACTGGTGCGCCAGAATTTCTGGTGCTAAGCAAGGTGGTTGTTAAGTGAGTCATGCCTGACTTTTCTTCCTTTTTGGCTATGGTTGTTAAGTGAATCACTGCAGTGGTTAAGTGAGTCTTAATTCCCCCATTGACTGCTTGTCAAAAGCTGCTTGAGAAAGTCACAAATGGAGATCACAGGATCCTGGGATGCTACAATTGTCATAAATATATGCTGGCTGCCAAGTGCCCAAATTTTAAACATGTGGACAGGGGGATGCTCTGGCAGTTGGTTGTATGTAAGTTTGTAAGTCAAGGACTATCTGTATTCAGTTTCTGAAATGCATAATTTTTTTTTAGAAATACCTAGTCATTGAACAGGTTTGTGTCCAACAACTGATCCTATTTTCTGCTCTTCATTTTTTTCCTACAACCTGCATGTTGTGTTCCTCTACTTCCAGTAACCTGAGCACATTTAAGAACCATCATTAAGCTGTAGTGTATGCATTGAAAATGACTATGAAATTCTACACCTTCCTCTTCTGGTAACCACCATTTTTGTGTTTTACCTTCACAGTGGTTGGGACTGCACGTGGCACAAGTTATGAATTCAAACAAGAAAACCAAAACTCATCAAATTTGCAGATGACATCAAACTGGCAGGAGTAGCCAACACCCCAGAAGACAAACTCAGGATCCAAAAAGATCCTGACCAACTTGAACAATGGGCCCTATCCAACAAAATGTGAGAAAAGCAAAGTCTTACATTTAGGCAGGAAAAACCAAAGGCACAAATACAGATTGGAGGAGACCTGGCTTAAAAACAGCAACTGTGAGAGGGACTTTGGAGTCCTAGTGGACGATCACTTGAGTATGAGCCAACAGTGTGCAGCAGCAACCAAAAAAGCTAATGCAATCCTGGGTTGTATAAACAGAGGCATAGAATCTAGATCACGTGAAGTGCTATTACTGCTTTATAAATCCCTAGTAAGACCACACCTGGAATACTGCAGCGTTTTGGTCACCATACCACGAAAATGATGTTGAGAGTTTGGAAAAAATTCAGAGAAGAGCAACTAAGATGATCAAGGGCTTGGAGACTAAAACATACGAAGAACAGCTACAGGACTTGAGTTGGCTAGTCTAAAGAAAAGAAATTGGGGAGACATGATAGCAGTGTTCCAGTATCTGAGAGGCTGCCACAAGGCACAGGGGGCCAGGTTATTCACCAAAGCACCAGATGGAAGGATGAGAAACAATGGTTGGAAACTGATCAAAGAGAGAAACTTCCTGACAGTGAGGACAATCAACCAGTGGAACAGCTTACCCCCAGAAATCGTGGGCACTCCATCACTGGAGATTTTTAAGAAGAGACTAGATATTCACCTGTCTGAGACGGTATAGGTTCTCCTGCTTGAGCAGGGGATTGGACTAGAAGCCTTCCAAGGTCCTATCCTATCCTATCCTATCCACTACTGGGGAAATGGTGTTCCTACAAAGTCTTGGGAAACCTAAACAAGCTGGCCTAGAAGGTAACAAGTAGAAGCTACTTGAAGGTAGACAAGAAGGAATTCAAATTTTGCACTCCTGTAGTGGTAAGAACTACTGTACGAAGAAAGGTTAACATGGAGAAGGATGCTGTAATGCAGGAGTGTCAAACTCGCAACATCATGTGATGTGTCACGACGTATCGCGACTTTTTCCCCATTGCCGGCAATGGGGTGTGTGGTTTTGACACATCCGGCCTGTGGGACGGCAGTTTGACACCCCTGCTGTACGGGGAACGTATAGCGTATTTGCATCACCACAAAGCCTGCTCTTCTATTCATATTTGAAATGTTCCACAGAAATAGGAGGGTGTGATTAGAATGCTAATATTCAGGATAGTTATAGTGCAGTACTCAAAAAAAAAAAAAACCCTCAGAGTTCAATGGATTTTCTTCTAGGTGAATAATAAAATACTGCAACTGAAATGTGTTTCTCTAAACTAAAATGTAATGTCGTGTATAGTCTTATTATGGAGTAGGTGGTCATATCATTGAACAAAAAGGACAATCCATATCTAGGACATTTTGGAAGTTATTGTGAATAAAGCTCAACCTCTGTCGGTCATGCTAGAAGTTCAGTCTACTATAATTGGAAAGCACCATGCTGTGGAAATTTGAGGAAAACCTGGGCAGACCCTTGACCTGATTTAGTAAATTATTTCCAAGAAACAAAGAAGATTGGTAATGAATGGTATTCAATATTTTTTTCTCAGCTTTGGGACAACTGATTTCGCAAACCACCCTGGATATTTTGTTGAAGGACAGTATACAAATCCGAAGAAGGGAGAGTTCTGTTTTGTTGGATTTTGTTCTAAAGCAGTATGTAGTAAGCCGCAAAGCAGAGCATCTGCTCGCTCAGTGACTCATCAGTCGCCTGCGAGATCAATCAAGCCCCGGCCCTGCGACGGCCCCTGGAACTTGGGCGCTGGCCCTTCTCTTCTGGCTCCAGACTAACCACGCCCTCTCTTGTTCTCCTGGAAGAGAGAAAGTCTCCCACTTACATCCGTCGGGAAAACCCCAGGCACTAAGGCCACGCCCGGTAGCAAGAGGAAATGCCCAGGCTCCACGCGGCAGAACTAAGCACCTCCGCAACTTCCCCCAAAGAGCGATCATTATCCCTCCAGCAGCCTCGACTTCCTTTTTTTTTTCTTCTTCAATACCGCCTTTTCTTTGCAAAAGGTCGGCTCGGTTTACTGCGGCGTTAGGCACTTTTTCCGCAGTCAATCAGCGGGCCGCCTTTTCCCAACCCGGGAGCCCGATTCGCCAGGCCATACTCACTGCGCACGGATTTCTTGGAAAAGGAAGCTGGCAATAAACGTCAGGCGACAACTTCCTACTGTCTGGTTTCCGCGCAACCGGCGGTGTTAGACTCTAAATACTCTTCGGGGCTGCCAAATGCAAAGGAAAAGCCTCACTAAACTCGGAACGCGCCAGGGCCCTTTAATTTAAATCCTATTTATTGAAAGGGGGGAGATGAATTCTTTTTTTATTAAATACAGAATTTAGTCGAGACATAAATGCGGCCGGCAATTGCATTGGAAAAGGGGATATACAGCATTTTAGGAGGGGAGAGACTAAGGGAGTTTAGAAAGGTGACGGCGCTAAAGCTGCATAATTCATTGAATCTGATACGGAACGCGATAGACCTTTAATTCTTGAGGCAGTTTTTCTCCCACCACCTCCGCGAATGCCACTCAAACGCTCCTAAGCAGGACGGAACAGATGTTTAAAAAGAGGTGGGGGTGGGGAGTCTGCCACGGAGGCAGCTAAGCGATCCCATTCTACTCACTGGCCGTTTCGTAACAAGTCTGATTAGCTTTAAAGCAACGATACAAGAAGTGATCGGCTTTTACGACTATGCTGAAAATTATCCAGAGACCTTGGCTTGTTTGCATCTGGAGTTTGGCTTGCCAGGCCCAAATTAGACTGCTGGTCTATTCATATTTGTTATTTCTTTGTTTCTGTCAAAAGACCACGTTCACAAATGCAGGAAGCCAGGAAATCTTGTGGCGCTGGCTTGTCAAAGGTACTTTTGCATGTCAGAGTGGTTTATAATATAACAAATATTGTCAAACGGAAGTAACATAAGTTAAATCAATTGAAGTATGAAGTATTTCGGTAACAGCGCACCTGATTTGTCTGTGTTCATACAGACTAAACTGCCTGATTGAACAGTGAATATAACCAGTGCATTCACCAATTAAAAATTGCAATTATCATATTGTTCTATCTTGTTTCAGAGCACTGAAGACAGTAAAGAGTAACCAAAACATTTTGCCTTTAAATTTCTATATACTGTATGTTTATCACTAATAAATTGTTTAAGTGACATGTACTCTTTTGAGATTTACATTAAACTTCCTATACAGAGGAAAGAGTTCTGAATGGATTTTTCTTGCCTTGACTTTATAACATACTGCAAGAAACCACTAAAATATAGACAAAGGAAGAAATATAAATTATCAAAAAAGGGAAGCAAAAATCATTACATAGGTTTTGTATAAAACAATTGCTTTGTAGAAAGAAAGAGTTATAACATTTAACAAGGGGAGACTAGGGGGCTACAAAGGCAACAGTGTTAAGGTAGCTTTATTTATTAAATCCGATATACTGCTACTTGCTGTTAATTCTGAAATAAACTTCCTCCTACCATCTCTTTAAATCACCATTCTCTTTCTCATTCCAGGATTATTACATGTTCATACTAACATATCTGTATCTATCTGTGCATGCTGGCTAGGGAATTTGGTGAGTTGAAAGCCACACATCTTAAAGTTGCTAACATTGAGAAACACTGCAATAGATACGAAAGACTACATGGAAATGTTTTCTAATTGGAAGAAAAATGGAAGTTAAACACACAGTTTATTTCATGCTTGTTCTATTAACTGCCCCATATAATCACTGCAAAGTATTAGAGCATAATTCTGTAGTTTGCAACTTGCTGAGTATAGTTTGAAACTTGCCAGTGGTATGTTTGACTTTAAAATTCAGTTAAGGCCATACTTTATTCACAGTGAAAGAGAAACACATAATCATGTCAATAAATTATCCATGTCTGATTCCTAGAATAGCAATGATAATCTCAGTTCAATGAGTGGCACTTTGTTCTAGCATATCCAAAGATTACCCTGTATTATGGTTAGTACATTGCAAAATGCTACTGCAGGGATCACGTTTTGAATAGTTGTGGATGCATTAAACACTTTTGAGGGTGGTCTCTTGAGTTGTGGCTGTACTTTGGACTCAAAAACTGCTGAGGAGATCTTGTCAGAATGTTTCTTCTACAAAATATTTACATAAGATAAACACTGAAAACCAACATAATGTCACAACAAATTGGAATTCTTTGTTCTAGGGGCTCTTCAATCTTTTCAAAAAGTTGCATTGTACTAAAATGTAAGCAAGTCAGAGGTTTCTGGCATTTATGTTGCAGATTTTTAAAACTCACTCAAAATAAAACTTAATATGGCTAGTTCTTGCAAAAGTGCTAAAATATGATTTATTTTAAAAAAAGAGATATTCAGTAAAGATATTGGATAACCAGAGGTTAATTCAATAAATTGGAAGGTTGCATTAATAATTAATTTTAGGGCTCCCAGGCAACTTTTCGTGCTGGGATTAGGTAATGGCATAAGTGTATTGTGTAGGATGATGTGTCCATCACAGTAGATATTTATTGTTATATTGATGACAATGGTAATTAAAACTACTGATAAATTCCCCCTATAAATGAATATACTTAAGTGAATATATATATACAATATCATACACATGCATATTATTTGAGAATGTAAGCATTTGGTCAAGGAATTTCTGGAATTATACCAAATGTACACGCTCTACATTTACCTGCATTGTAACAAGCTTGATGGATAATGGCAATGCTGAAAAGTAAAGAAGGTAAATTATGTCCATGACTCTGTGAGGTTTGGCTCTGGTCGACAGTTTGTAGAAAGATAATTTGAGATTAGATTCCATAAGGCTAAGCTGGGTCAAAGAAACTGCTGAGCTAAACACTTTCAAATCACACATTTTGGTGAGCTAGCTGAAATGAAAAACAGAGTGGAAAAGTAGGCAGATATTTCATTAGGTGTAGGGCTTAGAATATTATTATACTGAGGTTTGTTAAACTTGCTGGCATAGTAGGAAAACAATGTGTAAAAAGAAGTTCAGGACTATTGAACTGGTTAGAAGTTTATTACTGTGACAGAACTAGTATGTGTCACCAGGAAACTCATCATTCTAACAGTGTCGGAGAAAGATTCATCCTCATTTTGACAAGTCTTCTTTCTGTCTGATTTTTTTCTCTGTTCACTCCCCATTCTCACTCCACAGCAATAATTATAACCAAAGCATGAGTGTGAACATGTTCCGGAATTCTCAGAATATAAAATAACATAAATTGATAGTGAAATGAATTGATAAAACAGGCAAGAAAATGTACTCCTTTTGCCTTGATTTCCATACTATTTGCTGAACAATCCAACTCAACTAAAAGAGTTTACTGGAATGGGAAATATGTATAGCCAAAGCAGGAAGAAATATAAAATGACTTTTTTTGTTTGGTTTTGCACTTTTTTATAGTGTGTTAAGGTATTATCCATATAAAAAAATGCAGTTCTGTAACTATTTGTTCTCTTTTTAATTTGATACTATTTTTGTCCAGGCATTTTGAGCTCTTTGCTTACCTTTAGATGGCAATTCTGTGTTTTTATTCTACGTACGGTAGGATAAAGGATTTTCTACGTTTTAAAAAAGTAATATACACAATTGAAAACTATAAATATTAACCCAATCAAAAGTAGAATGAAGTGTTAGACTAGAGCAGTGGTTCTCAAATAGTGGGGCGGGCCCCCCAGGGGGGGCGTGAGGCTCCGTAAAGGGGGGCTCATTTGACCTCGGCAAATACTGTCATATTGGACGCACGTGACACACGCAAAGGACCCGATTGGATAGACAGTCACGCGGGGGGGCGCGAAATGTTTTCTTCTTCCTAGGGGGGGCATGACAGAAAATAATTGAGAACCACTGGACTAGAGCCAAGAGACAGAAGTCAGGCAAAATATGGAGAGAGAGGGAGAGGGAGAGAGAGAGAGAGAGAGAGAGAGAGATATTAGTTTTCACAAATCACTTGAAGGGGTTCCTTACACGGCCTATTATTTACATGAGAGGTGGGAAGACTTTCTGGTGATGCAAAAGACTTAGGACTAAAAACAATTCTGCCCTTGGGAATATCTTTCGGATATTCCCCCTCACATCTTAATTTTAACATTAGAATGGGGGGGGGGGCGGGGAGGAGAGAAGAGTTATGTTGCCACTTCTACAGAAAAGCAGAAATCCTTACAATCCTTCCTCTGATAATATTATAAATCCTCCCTACCTTCCGCTTCTCCCCTGCCTATATTATTGCATGCTTAGGGGCTACATATCCATGAAGTATAATTTCAGATTGAATGTGCCAGGAAAGATTGTGATTATGGCCTCTTTGTATGGATAAATTTCTTTGCTTCGCTCCTCCAAAACGAATTCCCTGGCATCCCTCCCCCCCACAGTGTCGTTGGAGATCCAGCATTTGCTTGAACAAGGCAGCAGAGTGAAATCTTTGTGTTTCATTACAAGAGAGATTTGTCTGCCTGTTTGCGTTGCGCGGCCTCCTTGATTTCCACAAGGTCTGACTCGGCTGCACGTCCTACAAACCAAGGTGGTGAAGGAGTTTTGCTGTGCACTTGTGCACCCACCCATCTTTCCTAAAACAATTTTATGCTACCCACTAGGGGGCAGCCTATGCACATCTGAGCCACGAGGGGCTTGCGATGTAACATAGCCAACCTCTGTTTAACGAGGAATAATTATTTTAGGAAGTAAAAAGTAATGTTGGACTTCGGATTATTGGGAGTTGGACAATACTACTTTTTTATTCTTGAATGCAACACATTTCTCTAACTTCATATTTAATTATCTTATTATCTAGACACAATAATAATAGTTTGTAGGATGATTACATCCTTGCTGTTAAAAACAGTCAATTTAGGGTTCGTTATCATTTCAGAACTGATTAGCTAAAATATTAAAGAAGAAAATATTATTTTTGTCTTCTTATGCAATATTTTTCATTTTCACTTTACATGTTCTGTGTCAATCTGAATACAATACTTGCTTAGTGGTTTGTTAAACACAACATTTTTGTATTTAAATGTCGAGGATCCCATCTGGTGAAGCAATAATTAATGCACATGAAAGAAGTTCAGTAATAAGAAAAAGTTACAAGAGCTTGTTGTGTTTTATTGTGAAGGATTAAGACAAATCAAAATGCTAGTTCTCTAAAGCCACAGGTATTATGAGGATTGTCACAGATTTTCCATGAATATTTCTTTCCAGCAAATGAATGTGACTTATGATATTTAGAATCGTTTAAAATATTGGATCGAACACAACTAATATGGAGAAAAAGGAAAAAAAAAAATTGGAGAATGCGGGCATCGATCCCGCTACCTCTCGCATGCTAAGCGAGCGCTCTACCATTTGAGCTAATTCCCCTTCCGTGGTTTTGTTTTTTTTCTTAAGCCCTATATAGCAATATTGAAGAACTGATCCAAACTATTGGTAGTGTTTCCTCGATCTGTTCCGAGTTCTGTGAATTGTCCCAAATTTCGTTTCCTCACTATAAAACAAGCACGCAAAGGAGGGAAGAAGGACTGGGAACGCAACCTCGCCAGAAAGCGGGATGGGGGGGGGGAACTACACTTCCCATGACCCTTCATAGCGCATGCGTCGCGCGGTCTTGCCGAGCGCGCCTCCGGGAGGAGAAACTCGAAGCGCTGCGGACGGCGGCGGGTTTGCTCCTGATTCGGGCTCGCTTTGCATTGGGCGAGGCGGCGACGGTTGGCGCCGTGGGTACTCGCCTTCTCGCTCCTGGCGGCAGAGGATGAAGAGCGGGGAAGAGGACGAGAAAGACATGGCAGCCGGAGCAGCGCGGACCCCTCGCTCGGTTTGAGGTGAGCTTGAGGAGGGGAGAGCCGGCGCCGGTGGTGGGTCGGTGCGGCGACGGGAACAGACAGAGGTGGCCGCTGTCCCCGTCGGAGAGGCTCGGGAAGAAGCGTTTGTGCCGCTCCGAAGGGGCTCGGGAAGAAGCCGCCGGCGGAGGGGAGAGAGGGCAGCTCCGCAGCTGCGGTCCCCGCCGGGATGGAGGTGCTTGGCCGCGCGCGCGCACGCACGCGGAGAGAGCGCGAGGCAGAGAGAGCAAGAGAGCCCGGACGGGGTGACCCGTTTCTTGGGTGGCGCGTGTGGAAAGGGAGCGGGGAATGGGGACCGGCGGGCGGGCGTGCTGCTCTGGGCCGCTCGGAAGAGTTGGAAGGCTCCGTGTTAACGGTGAAGGGCGTGTGGCTGCGAGCCTTATGTAGGCGGAATTGGGGACCGTGTCTAGGAGGGGGCTGGAGGGTCTCTCTGTGTGTGAGTGAGTGTATGAGTGTGTGTGTGTGTGTTCAGCGGTAGGAGGATGGAATTCGTTTGCTCTGGGTAGCAGCTTGGTCGGGGAAGGGGGTGTGCTGTGCCATTGTGTGTGCACGGGGAGCAGCGGGCTTTGGAAGCCTTTGTGGGATTCTGGGCAGGTCCCGTTTGGTTTTGGGCTGGGAAGACGGGGAAGTGGAGAAAGGAAATAAGTAGGAATGGTAGGTAACCCGGTGGAGATGAATATTCAAGCCTAGCCTGGGGACACCGGATGTATGAGACAGAGACACACAGAGAGA